CATCATGTTGAAGCGTGTGTAATCCATTCCCTGCCAAGCTGCCGAGGGAGGCAGAGCAATGAGCACAGTGGCTGGAGCCAGGCTAATTGCTCACTTACATCGAGTCTTTCTCAAGACCTTCTTAATTATCTCCCTCTCTGATTGAGACTGTAGAGGAAACAAATCACCGATGTTTTGAAATGCGAAGGTTGTTGTCTTAATACTGCACAGCCAGGCTGTGATTTCAGGAAGCTATGCTGCAGTTCTGCCTATTAATTAGAGAGTGCAGGGTGGTGGGGCATTTGAGGTGAGAACGGCCTTGGGCTCTAAAGATAGCCATTGCCACACCATGTGCTATGACACCTACTCAGCAGATTTCCTGTTTTCTATTTGTTTCTGCTCTCATGGTGAATAATGTTTGCCTTGCACCCAGAATATGGCATCCCTCCTACATTCAAGAGGGATGTTAACATACCGGAGAGGTCACACTGATGGAATACCAACATGTTCAGTGACCTAAAGCATATGACCTACAAGGACATGTTGAGGGATCTGGCCTTATTTATTCTGGTGATGCCATGACTAACTAGGAATCTAATAGCAACTACCTGAAGGGGACTTACAAAGAAAGTGAGTCCAAACTCTTCTTTCAGCAGTGATAGATCGTGGACACAAGTTAAAGGCTGAGAGTCCCAAAGTGGCCACTAGGAAAAAACATCTCTGCTGGGTAGCATGGCAGCGGAAGAGGTCACCCAGAGAGGCTCTGAGCCCTCCACCCCCAGAGGTACTGAAGCCTTGGCTAGTCAAAACCATGGCTGACCTAGTCTTGGTGACCTTGAGCAGTAGGGTGGCCCGGCTGGCATCCAGGGCCCTGCCAACAACACAGTCATGGTGAGCAGTTAGTGTCTAAATGTCCACTTTTCCTGAGTGTAATTTATGATGCTGCTTTCCTCACCAAGTTTGTCTTCAAAGCTCAGTTGGAAGTTTCTGCTCTGGGGCAAGATGTGGCCTCAGTGAAAACCACGGACGAGACCATGCAGGTTTGGTGACTGCTGGAAATGTTGAACTCAAAGCCTCTGTTAGTGAATTCACCTGAAGGTGGGCAAGCATGTGGCCTAAAGCTCATCAGATAGCTGGAGCTTATGTCATCCGACTGACTCTAAAACACCCTTGCTTGAGGTGGGACGATGTCTCTGGGCATCAGACAGGTCTTAAATTGACAGCCCTCATCCTTGCTGGCTGGGAACTGGAGGAGCAAGGGAGCAAGAGGGATGTTGTTAGATAACTTTAGCTTTCCTGCTCCATAGCAGTAGATCATTTTGAGTCTTCTGCTTGTCCTGCCAAAATAACCCTTGTGAGAAAGCAAAGCTATGCAGACAAAAATCCCATTCTAAAAAATCCACCCTGAAAGCATAACCCAGAAATAAAGCACACAGAGAGGAACTTTCTTTCTTCAATTTAATTGAAGTTACTTAGAAAAATAATCATCAGGCTTGAATGGCTTTTTTAAGGAAAGATTCATGAGCAGTTCACACTTGTGTTGGCAATGTATAATTTAGCTTTTTTCTTTATTAACAGTATATTTAGGTATGAGGAGATACTCTTCTACAACAAGCCTTCTACTGCATACAAATAGATTAAAAAAAAAAATCCAACCCCACATTGATGTTAAATTATTCGTACACATTGTATTGTGCATGCATGTAAGAAAATAACACTCTCTGTAACAAGAGTAATAGTAAGGACAGTCCCTTTTTGTACCTGAAAAGTGCAGCAGACTACAGTGAAACCCTAAAACATCTGGGGTCAACTTACTTCTAAAAGCACTTCTGCTTGTGGATTATTTATTTCACTTGTCTTACGCGGCGCATGGTTCAGGCAGTTTGCAAGTTTCTGTGATAATGGACGTGGTTTATGAAGAGGCTGAAGCATGGACCAAATCAGGTTCAGGGGTACCTCCCACCACCCAGGAGTCACCATCATGTTCATATGGGCCAAATCCAGCCTGGGCTCCAGGTGACGGTGCTTGGGGCCATCCGGGGGCGGAACAAACCCCCGGCTGTGGGTATCGCGCTGGGTAAGGAGCCGAAGGTGCTGCTGGGCTCAGCGCTGGCCCTGCCAAATGACGGGAAGGTACCGACTGCTCAGAGATGGGGACCGCCGCTCCTCCAGCCCAGCGGCTTTGCGGGGGCTGGGGACAGAGGTAGGGAGCGGGACCATCCCTGCTGGGTCCTCTCTGCTTTCACCACTGCTCGACGGTAATGAGCGCACATCCTTCTAAACCAGCAGCTCCCACATGGACCTCGTGGCCCCAGGGGCACATCTGTATTTTGCATTTTGCTGTGGCTGCAGTTTTCCCTGCTCGTCTCCTGGGACCAGCTCTGGCCGCAGCAGAAACGAACCCTGGAGGGAGCCAGAGCTCTGGGGCAGACCAGCCCATCCGTTCGTCTGTCTGGGAAACCCAGTGAAGTGATGGGAGTAAAATCAGCCTGGTTCCCCAGCTGCCCCCACACTGCAGGTGGTGGCTGCCAGCTTGCTGAGATAAGGAAGAACGACCCTGAACATCCTGCTATGTGGGTGCAGTGGAAGGAGATTTTTTTTTTTTTTTTGGGCTCAGTCAAAACAACACAGTCAGCAGACCAAAAGAAAAAAAAAAAAAAAAGGCTATTCCTTAACATTTGTGGTCGTCCTCTGACCTGGTGAGGGCTTCGTGCTCACCGCGCAGGACACGATCATATCAGCATGTCAGCTGTTCATTTTAGACACAGATCTACGGCCCATTCACAGCACCCCAAAATAGACAGAACATGCTAAATGGACAGTTTGTAGTAGTTTGGAATCAAGGTTTTTAAAAAGCAAGTGACTTTTAAGTACCCGCTTAAGACCACATAAAAGCCATCTCAGTGCCGAGCATGGGTCCGTAGGGCAGCCCCCTTCGGGGAGGCAGAATTTGGGTAATTGCACCCAAAGCTGCTGCTAAAAATCCAGGCTGGAGCAGCACTCACCCCTCAGATCTCCTCAACATGTTTTTCACCTAGAGCTTTTCTATCACAGCTGTCAAGTAGGGTTTTTGTGTCTCCGAAGCAGTGAAACTAAAGAGAGTATTTCAGAACAGATAAAAACGTGGTGACGACAGAGAAAAGTACAAAAAGAAAGGGGGAAGCACATCCCGTTTTTAAAATATTTACTTTCTGAAGTAACTTTTTTCTTAAATCAAAAAATTTACATCACAATCTGTTGGAGGGATTAACAGCTAACTGAAGAGCAAACTGGACCAAAATACTAGCACTGTTGGATACAAGACCAAACAAGCACACAAATAGCTTGTGGGAAATACTGGAGGGCGGCAGGGGAAATCTACCCTCAGACAGATATTTTTATTTTTTTTTAACAAACATATCACCATTGAATTACGAACAAAAGACAGCCAGGGCACACTGTGATAGGCACTTGCAACAGCTCTGTGTACTCTAAATGAGACGAAACTGCTTTCAAGTAAAACACCGGCTAGCGATCAGGAATTGAGAGCTGTCAGGCACAGCCAGCCAGCTCTTCGCTAGCCACTGGGCCAGCGCTTCGGTTTATAAATAGGACCTGGGTTATGAAAACTGTGGCTGTTCCAGAACGGATGATAGATTTATTTGTAGAGTATGATTAAAAAAATAATGACTGAAATCCTGGCTAAGAACAAATCCAATTGTGAAAGGACTTCAGCTGCTGTTTGTTATGTTAATTTGTTCTTCGCGGAGATTTATTCAGCGACTTATTGTTATAAAATAAGATGGAACCTATTTTTCTTCTTTAACCACGTACGTATCCTGGAGACTAATGTAATTCAGTGGATGTAATTCAGCTACTGTACAATACAACTGTACAATTTTTTGAATCTGGCTCTGATACTGTTAAAATAGGTCTGCCTTCAGCTGAGTTTATTTAAATCTTCACTAATTATTGGAAGGGTTTGGTTTGATGATAAGATTGACAATGCAGGCAAATCAAAACCCCATTTTAATCACCAATCAACTTTAAAACAGATTTTAGGTTCCCACAAGTGCCTCGACTTAACCCTCTGCCTCCTTCTGCCCCTCACCCGGCTGCCGGCGCTGCCGCCCCACGGTGGGACAGCTCGGGGTGGCTACAGACCATTCCCCAGGCTTGGCCGTACACCCCACCTGCACCAAACTAAAGCAAACATTTGGAGAAGCCTGTACTTCTGCTCACTAGCTTGCTAATAGAGCCACACTGAAATCTCATTTTTCATTATTTATTTGCTGTGAATAAATTACTACTTGTTTGCCCGAAACAATCTCTTGGCGTGCTATGCCTGGTACAATCTGCCATCCCAACAAGCCGTCATACACAATGCAATCATTACTGAGATATTCACCTTAACTAAAAAGGCCACAGTCTCACGCTAGAGCTGACTTGTATGAAATACTAACCCACTGGAAATTAAAAACATCCCTGCCAGTGGTATTTAGGCATCAACTAAAAAAAGACTCCCTGTTCTCCCTGGGAAAAAGCCATGAAACCAGCATGTAGGAAGACGAGACCTTTTTTATTGCCTTGCATGCTCGGAGGGCAACATGAAGATGACTTTCTGACTTTTCAGATGACATGCTCACATCCTTCATAGCAACGTATTGTGACCAGTGTTTTTTGAGCCAATTTTGGTTGCTCATCTTAAGATCAGTTAGGGAGTGATGACTTGCAGAGGACGGAGCTCCCATCACCCCCCCATATGAATGAGGGGGATATGAATGAAGTCAGTGCCAGTTAATTACTTGTGGCACTCAAAAATCTCTACAGTCACTTTCAAAATGCTGATTTTTTTCTGATGGACCATCTGCAAATCTGCATTCATTTGGGCTGGAAGGTTTCAAATTAAGAGAGAATGGGAATAGTCATATTCTTGATAAGATCATGAAGTCCAGATTTATAAAAAGTTCATGGTTTCTCTTCCCAAGGAATACATTCACATTTCTTTGAGTCATGGGTTTTAGATATCATGAATCTATCAAAATCTGTTTTACTTTTCCCTTTCAGGGCTAGAAAGATTGATTTTTATTTTTTTTTTCATACACTTAAGTGCAGTATCACTTTCTGAAGAAATTATTTCTACCACTCTTCTCAAAGCGTGTGGTATCAAGAACCATTCCCTTATCTACCTGCATCAGTAATGCTAATGGAAGAATATTATTACCCAGAGACAAACTCAACTGAGGAAAGCACAAAACCAGACTCCTTTTGTCCAAATGTTACCTCATCTCTGCTGCTGAAGTGACACCTACCAAGAGACCATGTTTTAAATAAGTATAAATAACATTAATTAGAATTGGAGGAATGCAAGATCAATGAAAATCACCAGAACACAATTAACATTTTTTTTAAACAGTGTAGCAGTATTATTCATTTCTACAGCTAGATCGTCACAATCCTGTTACCCTGCAAAGAGAGCTGTCCTTTCTTACAGTTGATTTAAATAATTTTGACTGTGCTGCTCGCAGCATCATTCAAAAAAAGAAAATATTAATTTACAAAATAACCCATTCTCCATATTTATTATGACAAATAAAAATCTTAAATAAAACAGGCTTTCTCTCCCCTCTCTCTCCCCGACCCATCCCTCATTCCAATTTCAGGTAGCTTGGCACTGAGTAATTGAACATTAAAAAATCAAGTTTGTAGACTTCATACAGCTGCGTTTGGTGCTCAGAGCTGATGTTCTGGAAGAACTCTGTGGTCATTTCATCAGTAGTTCTCGTGGACTTTGCATAGGTGGGGAACTTCAGGTAGTTGCCTACTCCCGCCAGCTGGAGAATGTAATTTGAATCCTCTTCGAGCGTTTCGTATTTTCCTATGAGGTCGTAGTGGATGTGGCAAGGGTGGCAGAGGGAGTACACAGTCTGCCAGTGCTCGTTGAAGGGCTCTTCCCTTTGGGTGTGCGGGTCGATGAGATACGCCACAAACTCTTCAAATTTCACGTCATCGCCTTTACGCAGAGCTTCCTGGGTTGCGTTTTTCCTCTGTCGCCTCACGATTTTGGTGCCGTATCGCTTGTGGAAGGAGGTGTTGTACTTCTGGGTGAACTTGTTCCTGTAGGCTGACACCAGTCTCTCAAAAGGCTCGCGGACAAAGAGGAACTTCATGTAGTTTTTCAAGCGGTGGTTGATCTCTGGGATGCTGTACTGGTTGAGGGTCTTCAGGTTCGAAGACACATGGGCTTCGTTGGCTGGGATTTCCATTGGATCGCTGTACTTGCCTCTTCCCGTCAAAACCATCATGACTCTCTTCCAGTTTGTGCAGGCCACTTTGGGAACATAACAATAGATCATTTCATGATCTTCGTCCACAACCAGGTGTTTGAGATCGTTGGGTGTCAACACGCGGCGCTTCCTGCTAGATACGCTGTTTGCTCGGCACGTGTCTGTCACTTGGTCTCGTCTAATCTGATGAAGAATTGCTGTGTTGGACAGCTGCAAAGAAAGCACAGGCACCACTAAGTCAAGCGGCTGGGAAACCCTTACTGCCTTTTTGCTTATTATACCAATCCATGGAAAAGTAGATTACTGCCTGTATAGAACAGTTCATTATGTCACTGAGTGAAATTGCTCCTACTCTTTTTGAGCACATATCTTCTTGATAGGTGCTGCTTAAATGCTGTTACAAAGAAAACGTCCAGGGCTTTGCTTTGAAGACAACACAAAGGAGCACAAGCGCTCACACAGCCTGGTGGCAAGTGTATTTACAGCACCCTCCTCCTGAGATGCGGTCACTGCTTTTCTTAGTCCTAGAAAACAGATCTCCCCTCCACCCTGCAATCCATCCCACGGCTACAGCAGTGCTGGACCCTGCCTGACCTTCTGCTGCCGAGAGGGGATAAGAAGACAGCAGAGTTGGAAAATTGGTCAAGGTGAAAACAGTACATGCTCTTGTTGCTGATGCCTTTTACGCTACAGAATTAATAATCGCGGCTTGTTTCTTGGCTATGACCTTGGCAGAAGAAATGAAGCCCATGGAGATTCCCGCAAGTCCCCAAGGGGAATGTTCACTCAGACGTGATTTCTTGAGGAGCAGGGAGAATATTAGCTCTAAATTTGCCGCTCTGCTAAACCCATATTGACAGAGAAGGAAAGAGAGTGTGGCTTTCTAACACACACAGCATTATATTCATCCATAGCCCTTTATTATTTTGTTAATAGTGCCCTAACTTTCTACTATTACTGCTACTGAATGCTTTGGAGAGGCTCTAATCTGTCTTGGGGAGACCCACAGGGCAGCTCCACAGAGACGGCCATGGTCTCACCACCAGCCACCTCCTGCCCAGATTGTGTCCAGCGACAGCAGCGAGAGCTTCTGCTAAGGCAGGTAATGAGCTGCTCTGGGAAACGGGGGGTATTAGCCCAAGCAAAGGACCATGCCGACGCAGGGCTCCTCTGTTCGGTTACTCAGAGCCATCTGACGTGTCTCTGCATGGCACGGTGTTTTGCTGTGCAGCCCTACCCTCACTGCCACAAATGCCTTTAAACATATTCTGAATAAATTGCATCAAAGCAACAGGGTTTCGGTAATATTATTTACATTTACTTAACCCCACTTACCTGTGGATTTGAAAAAGCCTTACGCACAATAGTTTAGCCTTAAAACCAAGTATTAAGGTAAGTATTGACCTTCCTATCTGACAGGTAAGGAGGTCTGAGATTCCTTCTTGAATACTGAGTCTTTCAAAAGTGTTTATACCTTCTAGTTAGGTTAACACGAATCACAGGACACTGCAATGAATCAGTGGAGGCAATGTAGACTACACGCATCTGCTATGGGGCTGTATGGCCTTTGGTTATAGGGATCTTCCCCCTTGATGGTATAATAACCTTGGCAAGTGGTTTTGCACCAGCTTGGGGGTTCATACTGAAACTCCAGTTCCTGCAGTCATGGGTCAAATCACTGCTTTCAGTATCAGCAGTTAGCCCTGATTCATATTTAAAAAAACCCTCAGAGAACAGGATCCAAATGCACGTTAGAGGTAAAACCCAAACCAAACCCCAAGATGGGGCCAAGCCAATTGTGGCATTTCTGAGCTTTGAGAGAGAAAGAAGACAGAAATTGTATTGTTACAGACAAGAGCCCAGGTTTCACCCACCCAAGGAGCAGCAAAAGCTTTTGCAACAAGTGAGCAGCAGAGACTTTCCCTCCCTCTGAGCTGCAGTGGGTTGCAGAGGAATGTTCTCCTGGGATGGGCAACACCAAGGGGCTGGCACACCTCAAACTGGGCAGGAGGATTTTTTCTTCAAGATGGCATTTATATGCCAAGCCTGGGACCTCTGTATTTTGCACAGTGCCACCCACCACTTCTCCTCTGAATTCCTTGGTACTTTCCTCATCTCATCTCTTTAGCCCCTTTGTTCAGCAAAATGTTGGCTAATGGTTAAAACATGCAATAGCCCAGTGCAGCTCCTGTAGACAGCCTGGCTCGTCTTTTGTGCGTGTGTGGTATCCCCCGAGCACCTCCCAGGTGCATTTCAAGGGCAGTTTTGTGTTACAGTCCAAGAGATGGGAAGCCAGATGTGAAATGTGCTTCATGTTTCCTAGGAAAACTGACTGGCAGGGAGTTTCCAAAGTAAGATGTTAGAAAGCAGTTGTCAGGGACCACACAGATTTTTGAAGAAAATTCCTTTTTTCTGTTAAAAATAAAATAAAATCTGTATTTCAAATTATGCTGTCCTCAGAAACAGAATGGTCAGCTCTATACTGAGTTACCAGTGAATAATTTTCAAAGAACTAAACAAAACCATATGCAGATACACAAACATACAAATTCTCCACTGTAGACAGATAACATGCTGAAATCTCTCTCCTCCTGCAGATTCTCAACAATATCACATAGCACAGTACTGCTGTTTGCCTCTGGTTTTAGGGTAAAAAAATAAGAGACACCTGAATATACTGCTACATTACAATATGTTAATGCACTGTATTTGCTTTTCTGGTGCTGTTCTTAGGACAAATGCAGAATTAAGTGGATGAGATTCTATGGCCTGAATTAGATAGAAGGTCAGATTTGATAATCTAATGGTTGCTTCAGATCCTAATCTGCAGATGAATCTTGTAGAGCTGTGCTTTGCTCCTGATTTCATTCCTACATCAATAGGCTAAGCACTTCTTCCCCATACATTAACATTAATGAGATTTTCAGGCATTCGGGAAAAATGCAGCCTTAGTATTTGCAATTTCAAATGAGATTGTACTACATTAAATTCACTTAAAAGATGATCCTTGTGCATTCTGAAGTGGTACTTGTCTCCCACTCTTTTTAACATGGAAGTAATATGGATAAAGGGCATAAAAGTTTGGTCAGCTCCATTTACTAAGTATACACCAGCATCCCAGGGTCAGCTCTGCACATGCTCTGGTAGCACACAGAACACATATTAAATATCAATGTAACACTAAAAGGGTATTGCCCTATTCTCATAAATTTGGTATGGCTGACAGATGAAGGGTCATGTAGGAAATACAGTTTGGAAAGCTCTATTACTTTTTTTTTTTTCTTTTTGCCTATTGAATTTAGCTTACTGGGGGGAAAAAAAAAAGGCCAATTTAGTGACTGTCCTAGAACGATGCCAACCATATCAAACCCCATTTTCTCCTGCAGCTGACTCACACACCCGATGCACCGTGGAAGAGCTGACCTACCTGCTTCCCCCAGAGAAGCAAGAAGTCCTGCCGGCTCTCCTTGAGATGTCATGAAAACAGCCCTCTCGCTGAAAGAGGGGTGACACGAAAGCCACGCTCCCACTGCAGTAGTGAAAAGTCGGGTAAGGCATTGGGGAGCCTTTAACGGAGCTCCTGCAGAGCCACCAAACCCTTCCTTGTAAGCTGCAAACCTCAGAGGACACGCTCCATGGTCCCCAGACCCTACGGCACCATGCGAGGTAATTGTAACAGCATTTTCCAATTTTATAGTTGGAAATTATATATTAACACTGAGTTATGGTTTCTCCTCATTTTATGTTACAGGCAAGGCTTTTAAGCCGCATAATAATTTCACTCCTGAAGCTGGTGAAAGAGGTAAGATCCAAATGACAGATATTTTTAAAGCTACAGATGGTGAAGGACAAATCAAAACAATTAGGGCCATGGACTGTCTTCCCCCCAAAGCTGCTGTAGATGTGGCTACAGCGGAGTTGTGAGAGCACAGCTGCTGCCTGGACACCGACTGCTGCGTCTACGGTTATTACCAGAGGTCCCCGCTGATCCTGCAGGTCAAGAAGCCACAACAAGTAATGACCTAAATCCACCCCGCTTTGGGAGAGGGTTATTTTAACTCTGTGTGCAGGTTACCCTCAGAGCAGCGTGGGGATGGTGATAAAGCCAGTGCTCGGGGTCTGTCCTCCAACAGTTCAACTTGGACTTCAGCTGGGCATTAAAGGTTTTGGAAAGACATCTGATAAAAGCAGCTGTTCTTCCCTGAAAGGACTGACACCACCACAGATGCACTTGATCATGGGTTTTTTCCTACATAAGTTGTAACGGGGGACACAGAAGAAGGGCATGTCAAGATCAAAGTTTTTCATCCTTTTCTGATGCAGCAAAGGAGTTGAACAGGGAGGCAACATGAGCAGTGGGAGACTCCCGAGCTCAGCGGCATTTAAAAGAAGAAGAAAAAAAAAGGTAGTCTGGGGACACTCTGATCCCAGAAGCTTTTCCTCTCCATCAGTCCCAAACTAACAACGAGGGAGGAAAGCTAAGTCCAGCACACTCTGCTCGTATGGATATTTTCTGCACAGCGCGGGGGGGAGGGTGTGCTTTGAGTGTGGTGCACTAGAGAATATACTGACCAGAAATTCATATGCTGACTAATTGACAACCATCAACCCACAGGCATGCAAAGGTTATTCAAGGTAAATCACAGTAATGAGATGAGAGGTATTTTCTTCTGGTTACTTAGGCACAGCGGGATAAAATCTTCGAGGGCCCTGCCAAGCTTGATGGCCAAGAAGCAAGTTCAGATTTAAACACAGGACACTTTTAATTAATGCTTTTTTCTGCAAAGTAGGAGCAGAGATCAATCCAATTCACAGGTATCTGCATTGAAAGCACTTTTTTAATAGAAGGTGTCACTCAGAAAAACCCCATTAATTAAATTTTGCCTCGTTATAAAAAATCAGTGTGCAAAGAAGTATCCCACACACTTACAAGGCAGGGGTTTATTTATTTCTATTGTGCTGCCTGCAGCTGCTGCTAGTTCTGCACATTACTGTAATCAGGCTCAGAACCAACCTACGTTGGGAGTGCTAACACAACACTGGAGCATGGCAGACTAAAGGGCAAAATCATCCAAATTAGTTTATAGTGGAATAAGGAAGATAAATATTGTGAATGGGGTTTGCAGTCCCATGCCCCGCTAAATTGCTTTTTCTCTTCAGTTTTGCATTAATGAAGACTTTGCATCTGCCTTTAATACTTCAGTTACACT